GCATAGGAGAAGACAAATTTTATATTAGAGAAAGTTTACCATTCCATAAAGGGGTAATTTACAGGCAATACGAAGAAGTGCCGCTCCTGAGCATGGAGTTGCTACAACAACTCCTGGATCAGCTGTGGAAAATGTTGGAGTAGGCTGATTCTTGTTACTATGTTTGAAGCGTTAATAGATCATATATAGGCTTCTAAGAAACGGCTTCATCTTTGGTCACGATAGAATCGTTGATTCACAATCTTTTCGGCCTTTTTAGGCAATACGAAAAACTCCTGCTCCTGAGCATGGACTTGCCACAACAACGCGTTTTGATGTGGAAAATGTCGGAGTAGGCTCATGCTTGCTTAACTTTTTGTGCCTAACTAATTTCCGACTTGTGTTCTTGAGCCATTCGTACCGAAATTTTCGCAGAGTTGAATAATTTAACAGCGCTGTTTGAATTTTAGGCGATTCGTAAAATCATAGCTCCTGAGCAAGGGCGTGCCACTACTACGCCGGGTTCTGCTGTCGAGAATATCGGAGTATGCTAATCCATATTTTTTGCTTCATTAACACTTATTTCTCAACTGTTACTTCCCTCTGTTCCTGTGCTCACAGCTGTCCGTTGCCACTGAAAGGTGAAGGCGCTGAGATTCTCCGTTCTAGGCTATCCGCAAGACAGCCGCTCCCGAGGCTGAGTTTGCTACAACTACGCCTAAATCTGCTTTGGGAAGTATTGGAGTAGGCAAATGAAGTAGATCTACTGCTGAATATGGGTTTCAATTTAGACAATTCGCAGCACTCCAGTTCCCGAATCGGGAACCGCAACGACTACTGCTGGAACTGCTATTGAAAACATTGGTGTAGGCACATTGATATACCGTCGCAATAAGCTAACACCTTGCACGCTATGTTTAGACCATTCGTAAAACACCGGCACCTGAAGCCGCTTTTGCCACCACCACTCCAAAATCCAACCTGGGGAGCATTGCTGTAGGCACATCTAAACATAATCTTCCTTCTCAATGTTAGTAGCTCTGAGGACGCACTTGGTTATGCAATTTGCAGACTATCCGTAGAACTCCAGCACCTGAATCTGCTGTTGCTACAACCACACCCGCATATTCAGTGGAGAATATTGCTGTGAGCACTAGTTTGCGTATAGTGGCGCATGTTACTTCTTGCTTCTAGGCAATCCGCAAATCCCCAGCTCCTGAAGCTGTCTATGCCACAACTACTCCTAGACCTGCTTTGGGAAGCATCGGAGTAGGGCTTTCATTTTGCCTTTTGTAGCGAGCGCACACAAAAAGTTTCCTTCTATCGCACACAGCGTAGAAATCTTCCTTTGGTCTTCTTCTGTTCCAAATAGTTTCGATTACGCCTTCTTACGATCAATCAACATGCAAATTTGCCTAGCTGAGACTCGCAGACGCAAGCAAAAGGACTTTTTTAACAGACTAGAAGAGAATGGTTTGCATGTTACACCATGGCACATTTTTCACAGTACTTCTTGCTCTCTAATCTTTCAATTTGTAATCTTCCCGTGAACAAAGATTCTTAATCAAAGTAATGGTATAAACTAACTGGATGCTTCGAGATCACGAATTCCTAAATGTTATCGTTCTGCAATAACAAGTGTTTTACCTACATGTCCGTCATATCGCTCGAAGACCCACACTTTCCATCCAGCAACCGGCATCCATACAGCTACTGCCTCT